ACTGGCAATGAAGAGATCTGTGTACGATCTGTTCGGTATAGATTCAGTTATCCGTGGATCAAACTGACCAGTTGAAAAATGATATGCAGAAACAAACTCAGATTTTTCACGAAAGAACTTCGGGCACAATATTGAGAATACATTTGTAACGAGTGCTTTTGTTCAAATGAATTTTAAAAAGTTTGTTGATTATAAAGTTGTCAGAAGTATTCTTATATTTCATGAGTATCTTGCCAGTTTACTAGACATCTAACTTGAAATGTTTTCTGACATTTTATAATGAAACAATTCAATCAAATTTATTAAAATATATGAAATAAATAAACGAATAATCGCGTTCGTATTCGATTGATTAATCAATGTAGACTTTTTTCTAGAAATCTAACCATGACTATATCTTATGGATCAAATAGAGTGCATCAAGCGATTATGATCAGTTTTCACAGTGTTTATCAAAATAATTTCCACGCCAAATGTCACACATGCAATTGGAGTGAAACTATAGTGACAATAAGGCAACTAAATTCTTATTAAAAATATAATATAGAAAAGATAATCTCAGAAACGGAAGGAGTTATCTGCATCAAATAGAATTTACAGGCTGTATTATAGAAAATTAAGCGAAGGATTATCTCATCTTGATGTCGGATTTCACTAAAGCTTTGTATCTTCACTGGGTACTTATTTTTATTTGGTGCGACATGGAGTAAAATGATAGGCATGTCATCGTGTCTGTTGAGATGATTATATATGCATTTTACTGATTCTGATAACCTTCAGCTATTGTTATTTTTCAAAATGCATGCCTTATCTAGTTACGTCACTGGAGCATATATAAACGATGCACTTTCGTTCGCCTCCTACTCATTTTAGTCTTATTCTATTGTACGTATCACATAATATCAACGGCTACTTCGAGTACCGTGACCCTGAACTTATATTCATAGGCAATCTCAGTTGCATATTGAACTTGATGGTGTTTACACAGAATACGCTCAAAGAGAATCCGTGCACAATCTGCTTATGCTCATATTTGGATGTTGGCCAGTGAGAAATATTCGTCGAGTTCGTCAAACCGCACGACCTATTCATACGAAAAATTCACCTACTGCCGTCACTGCAAGACCTTGAACACTCCAATCGAAACGATCGACATCGTCGATTATGTCGTTTATAAATTTTCAATAGCTATCTTCTATTTTTACCGAGAAATTTCATCTTAAAATGAAAAAAATATAGAGCAGTAACTGCCATATCACGCACGCGTACTAATTATTCTTTGATATGGAGTGCCATCATAAGAGGTTGTGGATTATGAACAATAATTTTCCGCCAGAAGGTTCATCGAATGTCATACTTTTGTCTGAGTTTTTATAATTTCTCGATTCACGAAATCGCCATCTTCTTTCTATCGAAAGACTCAAAGCATCGATTCGTCTACTGAATTGCATACATAATCATTTGATTCCAGCCGTACAGTAATAATAAAAGTGGTTTCTCTTAACAATTTGAAGTATTACTATCTGATAATTTTGTTAATTATGATCTTGCTTCAAAAATGGATATATTTCACTTTTCGTATAGATCGATACATCTTTCGAGCTATCAATCAATTCATTCTTCATAGAAGCTTAAGACTCATGTGCGTATAAAATCGGTGTCAAATTAAAGACAACTGAAGAAGATGAACCAACTCGTATGTCAACGTGTTGTTCACATTAAGAAATTAGAACAATCTATTCATTACTATTATACAACGTATATCCTTAGAGATTACTACAGATCTTCTTTTCCCCTTTGATTTCTTTCTGTCAGAATTGTGTTCATCATCATAGATTCTTGGTGTCAGTTTGCTTACGATTCTGACCTCTAGGTCACGCTGTGTACTCTCATATTCTCGACTATTGGTCTTTTCCTTCGCACCTTCTCTTTACTCGTGATTTCTGAATAAATATTCAAAGCGTTGCCTGCATATACAATAAACTTGGTCTGTTTCTTTTTGCGAGACTAAAAATATATTTATTGTATGCCGTCTTTTCTATTCTGCACCATCATTTTTATTAATTGCCCACGCATAAGATAATTCATGTACTAAAGTAGTTTTTTCTTTCTTGTGAACAATAATTAATCAGCAAAAACTATGAAAAATAATTACAAGAAAATAATCGTTCCACTAAGCTCTTCAAAATGTCAAATTCTCTCTTACGCAATGTAAAAACTCTGGTTATATTGTCCTTAAGCTTCTGCATAATCACCGAAGCTTTCACCCTTGGGATATCAGGATTAACGAATGACGTCTTTGACCTATATAAAAGTCATCCCCACTTTTTTTATTCTAGTCTCATTAAAATTTTATCACATCACAGTCATGTCTGCAGCAGCATTTCTCTATGCCTTTCAACAAAATCTTTTCAAGTACGTCGGTCTTCTACTCATCGGTATTGGTACAGCCAGCTGCCTATTGAACCTCTTGGTATTCACACAAAGTACACTGCGCAAAAATCCATGCACAATCTATTTAATCACACTCAACAGTGTTAATTTAATGACTCTCTATTTTATACCTCTTCCGACGATATTTTTATCAGGCTATGGCGTGGATCTTACTGGAAATAATCTTGTCTTCTGCCGATTTCAATCCTATGTATCTTTTCTGTCGTCAAGTTTGGAATCATCATATCTTATTTTGGCTTCTATCGATCGAACACTCGTCACTTCATCGAACGCTCTGACAAGAAAACGAAGCACACGTCGACTAGCTATCACAAGTATTATTTGTGTTGGCTTGTTCTGGGCAATTCTCCATGTTCACGCACTGGTTTACACGCAAATTATCCAATATGCACCTGGCTATTCTGTCTGTTACTTTACACCAGGTGCATATAACACGTTTATCACCTACTACGGGTTGTCAATCAATGGAGTTATTCCACCTCTGTTCATGCTTATTCTGGGCTGCTGGACAGTGAAGAATATTCGCAAAGTGCGTCATGTCACACAACATTCTGCCTCAACACATTCAGTTGTTGTCGTGGTCGGCAGACCACGAATCCTTGAATCAAAGGATCGACAACTAATTCGAATGTTGCTCGTGGAAATCGCCACTTACATTCTGTGTAAAACTCCAATCACGATCGTTCTAATTTATCGAGAAGTTACACGANATCCTGCTAATTTATGAGAAGTTACACGATATGTTGAGAAAGATGAAGAGCGAAGATTCATCGAACAATACGTGCTTTTACTAGCATGTTTCGTGTTTTACATCGAGAATAGCATTGGTTGCTATACAAACATCTTAGTGTCGAAAACTTTTCGTGTAGAACTGAAACGAATGTTGTTGAATGTTCGTGAAATGTGTGTCGTCAATCATCAAAATAGATCATAATTGTAATAAAACTATTCTATCGTGTGTATATACAAATGATATTTTTCACATGAAAATACTACGATAAATTAGGAATACAATTT